TGGGGTGTTGGCGGGGTTATTGGGGGTTATGGACTCCCATAAAAAAAATAAAAATAAAAATTACGGGGTGCCGGCAACCCCCGACAGGTAGGTACCGATCATCCGACTGGTCGGCTGGTCAGCAGCCGACCAGTCAAGGGGCGCTGACTATCGGGGTATGCAACACTGCCGGTCTGTGTCCACTCCGTCAACCTGTCAACCAGCAAGGATCATCGGCAAGCAGGCTGCCCCTCATCCTCGCATTTTTTAGGCCAATGGGATTTGACCTATCCGATTGGACAACAACATGCTAGGAGTGGCTAATGGCACACACGGGTAACTGTTGATATAAATAGGTCAAGAGGTCAAATCCCATTGGCCTAAAAAATGCGAGGATGAGGGGCGGCCTGCTTGCCGATGATCCTTGCTGGGTGACAGGTTGACGGAGTGGACACAGACGGGCAGTGTTGCATACCCCGATGGTCAGCGCCCCTTGACTGGTCGGCTGCTGACGAGCCGACCGGCCGGAGGGTCAGTACCTAACCTACATGGCCAATATAGGCATAAGCCAAAAGGTTTTTGACTTTGTTTTGAGCCATTGCGGCAAATGCTCTTAATATCATGGAAGCCATACTGCAAAAAAAGCAGATTCATTTGTTTGCCATGTTGGACCATAAAGACTAAAAAAAGAAACACACGGAAGAAAGCTGAACATCATGGAAGCCATATTTGCGAGAACAGCAATCTTAGGTGTTATACATAAGGTGGTTGTGTGAGAAGGAAAGAAAGCTGAACTGTGTGTGATGGGGGGGGGAAGGAGAAAAAAAAAAGGAAAAGGAAAGAAAAGCTGAACTCTTGGTCTGTTTTTCAACAGGTACATGTGTGTGTCGTTTATATGATTATATCAGGACCCCTGATGAGAATTGAAGTCGAATATGGTTCTGAAATGTTTCATACAGCCTAGCTCAGTTGGTACACCCATGAACTGTTGAAACTTGAAATACAGACCCAAGTCCGAATCTGGATGCAATTATATTATCAAAACAAGATAAAATAAAACAAAATGAGAAAATGAAAGAAAATAATAATAAATTAATAATAATAATAATAATAATAATAATAATAAATCTAGGCTACCCAGCTGGACCGCCCGGGTCACCCTATTTTCCCGGGCGGTCCGGCCGTGCAAGGACCAGGGAAGGTCCCAGGAACCCCCCCCCCCAAAAAAAAAAAGTATGCTACGCCTAGGCTACCAGCCGGGCC